CCACTCTGGTCTCTCATTCCCTTCGTGACCGTACTGCAATGCACATAGAGCGGAGATAACAAGTATATTATAGTTTTCCTGCTTGTTGGGGGCATTTCGCTTTAAACGGATGCCGGTATTAAGGATATAAGCTTCTGCCTCATAACAAGCACCTAGCTAGACTCCTCTAGTAGACTAATTTTTTTTTATAAAACTAGTTTTTAGAAAGCACATTATTAATGTTTTTTTATCATTTTTTTATTTTAACGCAAAAAATATCCAGAGCTTTTCGGGCAACGCACGGCATTAGTGAGGTGAATGTAGTTTTAGTGCTGGACTTCCGACCATAATATAATGTTGGGTGGCCTACAGTAGCTAATGCGGACTCAGTTCAACGAAGATTGAAATACAGAGTGGATGCTTCCGCGTGTACGTGTGCTTGTAGTAGGTTGTGTTGGAGGATACTTAACGCATTGCTACCATTTATCAAGGCGATTTAGGTAGCCAAAGAAAGATGCCATGTTGGCTAGCCTCTTTTCTCCACCTTCTCCATAGCACCTGACATAATTCCAAGATCAGCTTTAAGTAAAGTCAACTCTGCTAAAAAAAAAAAGAAGTCAACGCTTGACTACCTCTCAAGTTTGATCACCGGAAGACCATCCGATATTTTTTCTGATGATCGACGCCATCTAACCTGAATTACTGCAAGTTTGTATGCCAATTGTTTAGCATCTCAAAAGAAAAAAAAACCCTGGAATTTGTCCAGTGAGTACATATCGGTGCCCTTGAAATCCGGTAATTTCCAGGTAATTACCACTGATAGACGCTGGAGATTAGTTTTCTAGAGAGTAATCTGGTTTTGTGCGCTTGAATTCGGTAGTGTTGCTGTAGAATGGGTCGCCAGTTTGTCAACTTGTACAGAAATCCCTGCAGAGGCGAGTTTTGAACTGTCTCAGTGTCTTTGCCGACAGTCCTTGTCCAGCACGCCGTTCCATCTATCGAGTGCTTGTAGCTGCAGTTACGTGAAGTTGTCACTAGCATGTCATGGAGTTGTCTACAAGTAACAAACTTCGGTCGGCGAAAATGTACCGGCCCGGTACCTTGCACAGTGTATTTGCCACTTGTCACGATTTCCTTGGCTTTTCAAACTCCTAGATATCTGTATTGACGTCACAACGAAAAAAAAATAGTTCCGACCTTAAAAGACGTGTACAGACAGACTTCAAGTATCATCGAGACTGACTCTGACTTTCACTAAATCCATAATACGCTCATTTAAGTACATTTTAATAAATAAGATAAAATGATTCGACGCTGCAGAAAGCTTTTCTAATGGAACTTAGATTCAAACAGAATCCTGGCATGAAAATTATCATAGCCGAACAAACCTTTGCTACGGAAGGTGTTTATTCTGTAATGAGCGTTTCTGGGGAAAACTGATGGCTCTTGATGTGGAGATCACTTGTAGGGCACTTATAAAAAGATTGGTTCACATGTCAATACTTGAAGTACACTGCACCGCATCCAAGCAGCAAAATCGAGTGGACGCGACCGTGACGATGCATCAACGCGAATTTTTTTCATTAGCAACGGAGCTCGTCGCTTCCAGAGAGTCCAGCACAAGCGTACATAATGCTTGAAGCTTTTCCAGTCAGCGCGCTGGCACTGTCGAGACTGTCCCCGTGAGCAGTGCTCTGGTCCCACTCAAGTCGTTCGCAAGTGTAGTTTTTGAGGGGGCCGGTGCCAGAGCAGTGCGCGCTTGGAGCAAGACCGGAGCAGCGGATCGCCGAGTCGCGGTGCCGGCACTGCCGGTGTGTTAAACGCTGGAGCCTCGGGGGTTGGTACAGTGCTGTAAGATGTCGATCATCGATGGCATCATCGCCTCCCGCCAGGATACACACGATCCGAGGTGTCTCAAGGGTCGAGCCATCGTCGCCTCTTCAAGCACGTGGCGGTCGGATACACTGCCTTCTTCGGGCAAAAAGGCAACTATCGGTGCCGATAGCCTCGGCTGGTACTGCCACTTGGTGCCGGCGGCCAGAATCTTGCCGGTGCCGCTCCTACAGTCGTGTCGTCGTGTGTGAGCTCCGAACTGGCGCACTAAAGCTGCATTGACAATTGCTTGTGGTGTCGTGGATGTCTGATTTCTGCACTTGATAATAAACTGAAATGGCGCTCTGTGAGTGGTCAGCGGTAAGTGAAAAACCGATGATTGGTCGATACCGTGCTGCGATCCTTCTTTTTCGAATATTCGAGGGAGAAAAGGGGCTCCATTGCGGCCGCCAACAACCTCCCTTCACAACTGAATCCCAGCACGAGAAGCAAGAAGTTCGTGTGTGTCTAAAGCGGCAGGGAAGGCGCGCAACAGGCCTCGAGTGAGCGAGGCAACCTGCAGGGAAGCGAGCAGGAGTTGGTGACAGGTCTATCCGAAGTGGCAACTACATTTGCCATCTGCCATAAGCGAGCGAGAGAAATTGAGCGCGAATGGGCTCGAACAGCGCCATGGAGGACGAGTTGCACCCCGTCATGGACATGGAGACTGCCGCTAGTCGGCGGCCACTGGGGGAGAGCAAAGGATTTCGACGAGACCGACTAGCGTCTATTAGCTCGTCCGGATACTCAGATGCGTCGTCAGTAGGCGAGGCCATTGGCTCCGCCTTGGAATTGCCACCTCATCTTCGAGACCATTTAGTTAGCGTGACGCACCGTAATTTACCACCTGTGACCTCACTAGAAGGCGAGCGACTGCCTCCGATCGACCACATGCGGCCGCCGCCCATGCGTATCCCGCTGCTGCCCGAGAACATGAAGATGGAGCCGATCCCGGGCATCAACCAGCGCCGCCAGACCAAACGCGTCATCGTGTGTGGCGCTGGCATCATCGGGCTGACGACGTGTTATTATCTAGCAAAACAGGGCCACGAAGTGTTGTGCGTGGAAAAGGAAAGAGGCGTGGGAACGCAAGTGAGTTTTTGCAACGGCGCCTTCCTGGACCCAGCCCTATACGCGAGTTGGTCGGATGTGGCAAATCTGCGCAAAGGGATCAGCTCAGGGCGAAGTCACAGCGCTAGTCGAGCGCCACCCGCTGCGACTACCACAACATCAGCAGATGGCAACAGCGTGACTGTCAATGGAGGGCCAGCCGCAGCGGCTGCATCCAGTTCGTCCACAGACGTCACAGTTGCTGTGCGTTCTTCACGTGGCAAGTGGCCACTGAGGGAAAAACCCATGAAAATCGAGATGTCCGCGCTGCGAGACACCAAATTCTGGAAATGGGGACTGCAATTCTGGCACAACTCGAAAAAGGGTCGCTCCAATGAGCACAGTCGCACGATCCGCGAACTCGGATTCTACAGCATGTTGAAACTTCGGGAGTTGCAGGCAAACACCAAAAAGGGAGAAGTTGTCATGGACCAAACGGCACAAGGCACAATTGAGATTTTCAGGGATCACAGCGAACTGGAAGTCACGTTGGAGAGCGACCGAAGTGCCCATTTGTCGGAATTGGGTATGGACTTGCAGCCGCTCAGCAAGACACAAGCTCGAAATTTGGAGCCTGCGTTGCGGTCCGAGATGTACCAACCCGGGGCGATTTTGTCGGCATTTGGAACCAGTGGAGACGTGCACAAAATGTGCCAATCCCTTTACCGTCTTTGCATGCGGCAAGGTGTCATGTTTCGGTTTAACACTGAAGTGCAACACATTTTGACAGACAAAACGTCAGTCATTGCGTTGCAGACAAGGAGAGGATCGCTTATTGAAGGAGACGAGTTCGTTTTGGCACTTGGCAACTCAACTGCACCAGTGGCAAAGCGAGCAGGCGTGAAACTGGCCATCTATCCGGTGAAAGGGTATGTCCTTTCCGTTCCAGTGGCGGAAGGTTTCCGAGCACCGATCCACAATATTTACGCTGGTGGACATGTACTGGTTGCACCTTTGGGCAAGTCAATGTTGCGTATTTCGGGCGGCGTGGATTTCGTGAGTCAAAAGAAGACGGGCGAAATGTCACCACGTGACCAGAAAAAGCGGTACGACTGGCTGTTGGCACAGGCCAAACTCATGTTCCCGGACGGGTATCTGGATGTGGCGAAGATGCAGCCGCACACTTGTTGGCGTCCAGTGACAGCAGACGATGTGCCACTTATCGGACGTACAAAGGTTCGAAACTTGTACGTGAATGCTGGGCATGGCTCAAAAGGATGGACACTGTCGTTTGGTGCAGGGGCACTACTTGCTGATGAAATTAGTGGGAAACGACCACAACTTGACATGAGCAAGTTCGCACCCGATCGCTTCGGCTTTTTCGGTTGAATTTAATAATTGCCCCAGCGAATATGGGGGCTATATGACACAATAGAAGCTGCAAGTATGAAGGAATGCGAGAATGAATGGCTGGAGTTTGAACGGCTCGGTGCATTTTGCACTTGGAACTGGAGTGAAATGTTACGGGTGGAACTCGATAGAGAATAGATAAGAGTTCGGTCTTCCTGTGACTAACTGCTCCGGTTGGTGGCAAGTGGTATAACGCTTGTCTGCTAACACTACTGGAAGATTGTTGTAATTTGCTTTCTCGTGTGGTATTAATTAAATTGCTTTCTTTTTATTATTTTTGTTGCCTAACAGCATCACTTTCTGTTTTATTTTTATTGGTATCATAAAGCGAGCCAAAGTTGCTCGTTTTCAAGTTCACGTGGAGTGACAGATATCCAACCGTTGAGAACAAATGGCAAGATGCGGTGCTGGAAAAAGTCATGGTCCTCGCGCTGAGAATGCCACGGTCTACATGCCTCGTACTGATCCTCTGACAAGAATACCTCCGCCAAAATGTCGTTCCAGACTCTGGCATAGTTCTCAATTGCAACTTCTCGATTTTGCAGACGCATCCAGAGTCTTTCTGCAGCAAGGTGCTCAAATGTTGTAAGAAGTTGTTGCAGTGAATCTTGTTGATATTGCAGGGTGTACTTGGACAGCTCGGTCATCTGGTTGTCGATATCTGCAACATCCAACAAGCTCGCGAGGTGGCGAAAGCGTTGCCGGAGTCTTTGCACGAATTGATGCTGACGACTTCGCTGATCGTACAGCGCTGTCATGCGATCCACGAAAGTGTCAAAAGACAATGGACTTTGTCCCTCCTTTTTGTCGGGGTCATTTACCTCTGGTGTACTATCCAAATCCACAAAATCTGGACTGTTCTCGACGATCTGGCGAGTATATCGAAGAAGGTCATGGAGCACGTCTCGAGGTTTAGAGCACGATAGGTTTTTGGAGTTTGCAGTGTCGTTGTTGTTATCCGCGGGGAATTTTGCTGAGCAATGTCTAGAATCATTATGCTGAACATCGAGACGACGACGGTGTGGCCACGGGGAAGGAGCACCTTCCAGTACCTTCTGGTTGTGCACTTCACGAAAAATCTCGCTTGGTGACAGCAGAACGTAATCAATTGGAGTCTTTCGAACATGTTGCCGACGTAAAGGTTCATATTGCGTGCCCCGGTCGATCATCACTCTACGGGAAACAACATTTTCACTTTGAATAGAGTCGACATCATCAGTAATAAGTTGAGGTTCCGAAAGCAACGGGGCCGCGGAATTCTCGTTGTAATCGCGTAAATCTTCATTGTGTTCGATCGACGCTTTGGTGTGTGTGACGAGTTCTAGCTCAGCTGGAACCAGCGATTGTTGTTCTCCTGAAGTAACGTGGTTTGTACATTTATTTTTCACAATGCTGGAATTGATGAAAAAGCATTCTTTCTGACGTCGCTGGAAGCTGCAGCTCGTATCTCTTACGTCTGTGTAGGCGGGTAAATCGAGTTCTAATGGAACGATCTGAAGCCGACGCTTGCATATAGAGGGATTGCATAATTTTGGTATTTCTCCGTTTTCTGGGTTAGGAGGCGACGAGGTGTGATCGAGTTGGGAAAAATTAGCGAGCGAAGAATCATAACTTTCTGCTGCTTTTGCTGCTGCAAGAGCATGATCCAATTGCAATTTGAGCGCTGCAACTTGCTCTTGCAACGCATAAATTAAGCGCTCATTTTCCGTACCAGACGCCGCATCAATAATTATATCTTCAGCGACTGCCTCCTCCACATTCTTCAGCGCTTTGTTTTGAATCGAACGTGCTCGGTTCGCATACTGCAGTGTATTTAACGTTTCGTTGCCATTCGTGAGCTCTGGTGAAACGCAAGCACTGTGAAAGAACGATACACAATCAGTTAGGTATAGCCACGGAGTGGTTCTCAATTTTGCATACATGAAAAGTGTCACCGAGTTGCCACCGAGGGCGTCACGCAGCAGTCGTGTAAGCTTCGACGACCGATACGGTATGTGGCGAGGGGTGCTGTTGCCACTACCAGATCCTCGACTATTGGCAGGGCTGTTTAGACGCTGCAAAGGTCGATTTCTGGAACCCAACGCGTTGATCACGTTCCCGAGTGCTAACAGACCAACTGAATCAATCAAGTCACGTTAAACAAGCCACAAGTATCCCAGTCATATCAATTGAGAGCCTACTGTTGATGTGTGAGCCCTCCTTCATGCCGTGACCCTCTAGTAGTGTCTTCTTGACGCGTTCGCTGCCCGCTAGATCCACAAATGTGAGTTTGGAGTGTTTTATCTCGTTGTTAAACGTGCGTGAAACTTCGAGAGTGTACACTGCATGTGACCGGCTGGATTGGTCGTTAAGAGCGTGCGCACCAACAGTCTGCCGCTGACGACCTGCTTTCAACAAATTTAGAGCTTCATTGACACTTTTCACGTTAATTTGCTGAAGCCCCTCGATCCAAACATCGTAGTCGTCTTCGTGAATTGTAAGTTTACCAGAGTTTTGTCGACCACCATTTTGCGAGTTGCTTCGAGCTCGCTCAACCAACAAGTCGCGTATTTCGTCGCAGTAAATCTCCAGAAATGATATTTTGATCGTCGTTTTAATGCTCGCTTCCTTGCGTAACGCAGCAAAGAAATCACGCAAGAAGCGTAGTATAAGTCCATCGTCATTGCCACATTCTACGGCCGAGGTTTCTGCGCCTCCCATAGTGTAGGTCTTACCAGACCCAGTTTGACCGTATGCGAGCACCGTAACGTTGAAGCCGTGCAGTAAGGACATTAGAAGTGGATGCAGAGCCGCAATGTACACATCTATCCACGCAATTGGTTAGGATATCGAGATTACTGAGACCGTGACTAAACTTACCAGCTTGTGAAGCTTCGGTCGAGAAAATGTGGTCGAATTTGAACGACTTTTGAGTTTTGTCAAGCTGGAACTGGATCGCGTTGTCAGCATTGGCCCCAGTCTCCGGTTCTGACTCTGATACACATAGTTGGGGTATTTCATTTCCATTACTGGCTACTGGTGGGCGAACTCGAACTGCAACTTTAACGCGAGCAGATAAAGGTGGCGGAGGAGGCCGCTTAGGACTTTTAACGGGGCTTTTGCCACTTGACAGATTCCGCATCTTGAGCTCCTCCATCATAAAGCGAAACAGCCGACTAAGCTGTTGTCTCGTAGCCTGATCTATCCTGAACACATTACGAGCTCATTACGAGCAGCGGGATCGACATGTGCGTTGGCTATTTATTGCTAAGCGTTAGTATTAATACTCGCAGAAGTATTTCTGAAAACGAAGCGAATGCATCGCATGTGTCTTCAATAATAATAAAAAAAAACCCTGCAAAACTTCAAAGGATCCCTCACAGATCCTTGGAAGTTTTGCACTCCCGAACCTTCACAGACTCTGGGAGTGCTGGGCATCATTTACATGGCAACAGCGGAATCCATTACCCTGCCATGCAAAATCTTTCGCGCCATCAGCCCAATCTTTCAAACCAACCAATCACATTATTTCCCGCCATATCATTGGCTGAAAACAAGAAGTTGAACTGCTCATCCGTTGTTACGACATTCACTCTTAACGCCTGGACAACATGCGCCGCGCGCTGAAGCCTTCACCGGCGTCAACCACAGCGTCCCAGCGCCCCACACCAACCGACTCGGACGAAGATGAGCGCAGATCCTCCAGCAGCGCCGAGGGTGCGCGCGTGCAGCCGCTGGAGTCGCAGCTGAAGCCCAGAAAAGACGGCAGCGTCCGTGTTGCTGTGCGGATTCGGCCCATGCTGCCACGCGAGCTGGCGCATAACGCCTCCACGTGTGTGAGCAAGTCCAGAGGGGAGGAGAACGCCATCGAGTTACACGACGGAGCCACGGGAGAGCGGAAATTTACGTAAGTTAATACTTTATTTATCGGTTATCAGTTTTTTTTTACTTAAAATTTTGTTTTTGCATTGTCAGATTCGACCACGTTTTCCCACAGACAGCCACACAAACTGAGCTGTACGATGCGGCTCTGCAGCCGTGGATGGTGTCGTTTTTACAGGGTTTTAACGTCACGGTGATCGCATACGGCCAGACGGGGTCCGGCAAGACCCACACGATGGGGAACCACATGCCGTCTACGTCTTTGCTGTCCAATAATTTATTTGCCAGATCTCCGTCAACTGGTGACAGCGATGAGGAGTCTGTAGACACTGTGGACAGCGACGAAGGCCTGATCCCCAGGTTTCTCCATCAGTTATTCGCAAAACTCAACGATTCGGGAAGCAAATTTCAGCTGTCGGTGTCGTTTCTCGAGATTTATGGAGAAGATATTCACGATTTACTGGATTCTGGATCAAATCGACGCTCGGATCCACTGCAGTTGAGAGAGAACAAGAAGAACGGTGTGTGGGTGCAAGGACTGACAGAAGTGCGAGTGTCTAATAGACAGGAAGCCATGGAACAGATGCGGAGAGGATCGATGCAGCGAATCACGGCCAGTACTCAGATGAATGAGCGATCGAGTCGCTCGCACGCTGTGTACACTGTCAAGATCGTCCAGAGAGTGTCCGAGCAGGAGTCCAGGACGAGCTCTTCTGTGTCTAACAACCAGAATATGGAGAGTGTGAGGAAACACATGATCAAGACTGCGGTTGGGTCGACTGGTGAAGACTTGGGTCTTGAGTCTACAGAATCCGACGCAGTGATTGTGTCAAAGCTTACGTTTGTGGATCTAGCAGGCAGTGAACGGTTGAAAAAGACGCACGCAGAAGGTGAGCGGATGAAGGAGGGTATTCAGATCAACGTGGGTCTGTTTGCTCTAGGCAATGTCATCAACGCACTGGGCGATGAGAAGCGTCGAGCAGCTTCACATGGGCATGTTCCCTACAGGTCTTCCAAGCTAACTCGATTGCTGCAAGATGCACTCGGCGGTAACAGCAGGACACTCTTCATGTAAGTAAAAGGCTGATAGAGTGGGTAATGGCTATCGCTGACGCTGTGTACAGTGCGTGTGTATCTCCAGCAGATTCGAACGCGAACGAGACGTTAAATACGCTTCAATACGCCAACAGAGCTAAGAACATCCAGAACAAGGCCGTAAAGAACATTGACAGTCGCTCGGCCGAATTGGTGAGCTTAAAGGCTTTCAACCAGCTGCTCTGTCGCGAACTCGTCAAGGCGATTTTGGCTGAAGACGGTGACGTGGATCATATAGTGGAAACATGCATGACGAACCCAAAGGTGTTAGCGTTTCTGAACAGCATCGAGCAGGTCTCGGCGTCAGCAGATTTGGAGTCCTCGAGCGACGAGCGTTTGTTCGAGACGCGGCGTCTGGTGGGTGGCCTTACCACTTATCTGCATGAACTGGTACCGAATGGCGGATGCCGACGCCCTGCATCGCTGGCGAGTTCGAATGAAGAAAAAGTCGATAACATGCAGCCACAAGATGATACTTTGGACTTTATCAGTGACAGCAGCTCATCGGTGGCTATTATGGAGGAGCAAAGACTTGATACGGACGGAGCCTTCGAGAGGCCATATCCACTGAGCAAGCTGTGTCGCACGTTGGAGATCATGAATGCTGCGTTCGAAATGCAAGAAATTCAACACGTTGAAAGGCGCCAGAAAGAATCGGTCAGTGCCAAAATCGCCAACTTGGAGACGCGGTATCACCGGCAAGAGCTGTTACGCACTGGACTGTCGAGTATGATAGAGAGGATGCGAACGTGGCTGTCGTCAGGTGCATCGAGCCAAGTTTCAAGTGGAATAACAACGGTCGAACGCAATTTGGAAGCAGCAGTAGAGAAGTTGGAGCTGATGGATATCGAGATGGAGGACATGCAGCGCAAGAAAGTGACGTTGATGTCTGAATTGGAGGCGGAAATTACGCGTTGCCAGAATGAGTGGAAGCTGAAACAAACCCAGATTGAGCGAATGAGGGAGACTCCAGAAGAAGCAACCACAAACGGACTAAACGTGTTGACTCGCAGGACCGAAATTAAGGTATTGTCAGCATGTGGTATCCTTTTCGAGCATCCCAGCTGATGGATTTCTCTTTTCTTGCAGGTCCGCTTTGACGGCTACGATTTAGACGATATTTCAGAGTTCCTCAAGGATGAAGAGAAAGAGATGGCCGCCTTTATTGACGAAGATGACGCAGCAATATCGTTGATGACGCCTCTGTTCTTGAAAGAAGAGTTGTCTTCGTTGCAAGCACGTGAGATTCTAGCGATGATTCAGGATCAGCTTAAGGTATGTCGCTGTCCTCCTTCCAGGTGTTTTACAATTGTCGTATTGACTAACTAGTGATGAATGCGTGATACATTGTAGATCGCATTTGACAAAGAAGCTCTTGAGGCATCGATGAACAAGGAGCTACGTAAACGAGCGCAGTTGTTCCGGAACATCACGAGTGGGCTGATGGCGTGTAAGCGTGGAGAGATGACGGAGCAAGAGTTCATGGAGAAGAATGAACAAGATCTGAGAGACTGTGAGGACAGCATCTCTCAGCTTCGTGATGCGATGCGTGCCAAGCGCGATCAACGAGCCTCCATGATGGAGATATTGGACTCGATCAAGTCTCTAGATGTGGCGAAGGACGTGATAAAACGCCTTATCGTGGAGAATTATTCGCAATGGAGAATGTACATGGCATGTGATGAAGAAGAGGAGTTGAGGAAGCAGCGAGAAGCCGAGGAAGCTCTGAACCAAAACCTTGCAAAGATGAAGAGTGATATGGACAAGAAGGTGGAGACGCTCGAAGAGAAGTACACAAAGGACGTACAGTGCGCGATGCAGATGGTGACGAGTTTTAACGACGCTATCGGGTCAAATAAGCATCCTCAAAAAGCAGAGGTAGTCAGCAATGTAGCAGCCCTGGAAGAGCGAGAAAGGATGCTTGTCGGTCAATTGGCGGAACAGGAGGGTCAAATGGCGGCAATGCGCGCAGAGTTGGAACGCTTCCAATCGTCTGCGAAGAGCATGGAGATGAAGGAGGAATCCTTCCGCTTGATGAACGTACGTTCCTATCTTACCGTCTTCTTGTGTTTTTAATCCGTTTAACTGGGGGTTTCTGTGCTTTCAGAGATGCCAGGAGATTTGGAAAGAATTGGGCCTTAACGAAGAAGACCAGGCCACCAAGTTCCAGGACATCAACGAACTCTTAGTACGAAAGTGTTCCGAAGAGCTCGAAGGACTCGAAGCTGCGCGAGAGAAGCTTCAAGCTCGTATCGACGACACTTACCGTGTTGTCAGTCGGATGGAATCCGTCCTTCGTGTGGTCGACCGCGTGGATATGCAGTCACTACCATCCATAGCAGGATCAACGCTGCTGGAGCAAGAGAAGTATTTATTAACGCTACAGAAGCGTCTGTCGGGTGATCTATGGCAACGGATGAATGCTCGTATTCGAGTCTCCGAAGGAATTCGAGAGCTAGCAGCTGGTCTCCAAGTCAGATCAATTGAGGATTTCTACCATGTTTCTCGAGACGAAGTTGGTCACTTCAACGCGGACTATGAACATTTATCGGATGCAGAACTGGTTGTATGGAAACGTTTTCAGAAGAATAAGGACGATGCAGACACGCTTGACCAAGTTTTGGATCGTTTAGGCGATGGAGACAGCATTTCCAGCTCCTCTGTGCAGCGGGATGAACTTGTGCTTAACGCGTTGCTGAAAGAGAAGACCAAGCGGATCGCAGAGCTGGAACAGGCGTTGGAAGCTGTCAGGACCGTGGCTAGGAACACGCAGTTATCTCACGACGATGTCGTGTCTGTGATCGCTACGTTACGCGAAGCCGAGGAGGCTGAGGTGGATGCCAACGGAACGGACGTGTTTGGGGAGCTTTGTGCTTGGATTCTTCAGACAGGAGGCCAGCTTGATGTCAGTAAGAAAGGACTGGAGACTCTCGCTAAGGTGTTGAGAGGATTTGAAGAGATCCAAGCAGGACGGTCGAACGCGATCGAGTTTCTTCATAGAACTCGAGAAGAAGCGACGATGTTGACACAGGACGTAAGTGTTGGTGACGTGAATGAAGCTTCAACACAACATTGCGCGTTCTCGCTTCCTCCGATTCCGGAAGTTCTGCAACGTAATGGGAGCTTTATGGACACTCTTGCTGTTGGCAAAGACATGTTGGTTAGTCTAAGTAAGCCTGTGGAACGTTTGCTGCGCAGTTTGTTCTACTCGATGAACGACGACTTTGCAGCCTTTGACATCGACACTGAGGAGCAACGCGTGAGTTTCTTCTTGGGCTCAAACGACGAAGGACAGGAGGCGCGTCGTGCTATTCTAGATAAGTACGCGGTGCTTTCATCTTGTGAGAATGCATTGAAGGATGAGGAGAAAGAGACCCCGCCAGTCCCGACAAGCTGCAATGACTCGTTCCTGTCCAGACTCGACCCTGCGTTCAAGACGTTCCATTGGGTCTACTCCGTGTCGTTCGGGGAGCTCCAATTGCAGAAACTTCGCGACTCAATTGCAGACATGGACGAAGTTAAACGCACAGTGACAAGCACACAGAATCGACTGCGATCTCTGCAGAAAATCATGAAGATCTTTAACAAAATCAACGAATTCAAGGCCAAGATCGCGGAGTTTGAGACCAGCGCCAGTCAGAAGGAGCGTCTATTTGGCAACTCCCTCAGACTCCTAGAAGAAGAGCGCTTCCGCAAGATGGCAGCTAAACACTATCCCAATCTCCTCGCCTCACTACGTAAGGAGGTTACAAGGTGGCTCGACAATGAAGACGGAGAGTACGACCTCGGCGTTCTCGGTGAAGACCTTAAGAATTTGCTGCTGGATATGATGAACACCGACACAGGCCTCATGCATCTGGACTTGGGGACTGTACGACGCCATTCGAAGCCTTTGACGCCCAACTCCAGCAGCTCCAACCTCCAAGCGACCGCCAATAGTCAACGCTCTGCCACTCCTGCTCGTGCTCGAACCCAGTCAATGAATAACCGGAAGTCTCACTAGCGATATGACAGATATATGAGTTGCATAACAGCATAGAGATAAAGAGTATTTAAAACCAAGCAGCTAAGTGCATTGTGAGGTTCTTATGATGGTTCCTAACACATTGCTTGTGAAAGTTTACGTAAGCTTGGCACTCTGCTTCTGGTACTTCTGGTACTTGCTGGACAATTCCCATCCCAGACCGATAAACACGACAGCCACTCCAAGCCACGACATGAGAGTGAGCTCGTGCCCGTACCAGACCACAGAGAACAAAATCGTGAAGAACTTGCGTGTAGTGGTGATGGTTGTGCACGTGAGCGCCGAGAACTGCTGGATGGTGAAATAAATGAAGTTCTGGCCCAAAGCGCTGCACACGGAGAAGTAGAAGACCGAGTTGAGGATGGCTGGGTTCTCGATGCAGAAGAAAAAGCCCTCGAGTGCCTGACCCGTCACTAAAGCGCCGATACCAGTGTACACCACGGCCCAAATGTTGGTGTTGAGCATCTGCTGGTGCACTGAGGGACGCAGTTGGTGTGCGATCTCCTCCTGCTTGGGGCCCGAAATACCGTCCAGTGTGAGCGAAGCGAAGAGCAGCAGAAGACCGTATGTACTGTTCTCACGCTCGGCGTGCTTGGCCGAGCCCTTGCCCAATTGAAACACTGCGATGCCTGTAGTGATGACCAGCACGCAAATGTAGTCACGCAGCGTGTACTTCTTGCGACGAATGAGTACACCCATGAGCATAACGGGGATCATCTTGCACGACTTGCCGAGCGCTTGAGTGGGGAAACTCACGTGTTTCAGAGCCTCGTTACTGCACAACATAGCGCCAAGGTAGGCGGCCGCAGTCGTGGCGAACGGGGCCAACGGCATGCGCGCACGTTCCGGTTTCCACACAAACGTGGCGGCGTAGGCTACCAGCGAGTTGGTGACGCACTGTACGAAGAGCATGAAGAGTGTAGACGTGAACTTGTCGCCACTTGGAGAACGGTACGTGAAGCTGGCAACAAAATGATGACACACATGTGTAAGTTTGAGGAGTATTGGATGGTGGAACTGTAGATTGCGTACATTTTCTCCTGGAAGATGCCATAGCTGAGGTAGCACGTGTAGATGCCGCCGATGCAGATGAGCAGGTTGAGGATGCTCGAGTCCCGCGGACTCGACGCGTACAGCACTGTCCGCCCCATGATGTCAACGATCTACTGACGATTTTTGAATACAATGAATAAAAATGGCTGGAGTGCCACGTGTACGGTAAAGGTTGCAGAGGTCGCACGAAGGTCGCACCATGTCTGAACCACATAAACAGATGTATTTCGCGAATATTCGTATTCGGCTAAATTCAAAATTGGAAAAAAAAATCGTAAGAATGTTTTAACGATTTTGTTTCGCTGTTTCAACACCGCAAAAAGCTTATCTCTCTGGACTATTTTTTTCCGGGAACCCGCATCTTGGTTTCAGTAGGCTTCTTTTATAAAATCCCATACATCGACCCGCGTTACTTTGCGATCGACCTAAGGTAGCGCAAATTAACACTTACAAAGGAGCTTTTTTAAGTAGAAACCCCGTTTGACCAATACTTAGAATTTGTAGGGCTCAAGAAAGTGTTTTCCATCTTAAGAAAGCGCTTTCAGATTTAAGAAAGTGTTTTATTTTGTATGGCAATCAATAGAGATCGCGCCGCAACCAGCAATTGCATCGCAGTCTTCGACAAGCTCCGTGCAGCTATGCGCTCGAACGACAGCCAGAAGATCATCGTGGTGGGCATCCCCAAGACGCTGGATGACGCGCAGCTGTCTGAGCTCTTCAGCGAGTTCGGCGCCGTGGCCGAGGCCAAAGTGGTGCTGGATGCAGCCTCCAACTCGTCGCGCGGCTTCGGCTTCGTGACGTTCACGGCTGGTTCGGCCATGCGCGCTGCCATCAAAGGAATGAACAAGAAGGTGATCCAGGGCCGCACACTGAACGTGCGACAGCTGGTGCCCAAGGACCAGTTCCAGGCACAGAAGAAGGAGGCGCCCGACGCGAGTCAGCGACCGTGCTGGCTGCTGCGCAAGGGCAAATGCACCAAAGGCGATAACTGTCCGTTCTCGCACGATATTAAGGACGGCGAGTTCGGCAACTGCTTCGAATTTGTGCAAACTGGAGAATGTAAACGTGGAGATAAGTGCAAATTCTCGCACCCGCAGAAAACGGAGGAAGGAGAAGATGATGAGAAGAAGGAGAACGTCAAGAGTGAGGCGAAACCAGTGGAGAAGCGCGTGTGCTACAGTTTCCAGAACGGACGGTGTCATAGAGGCAAGAAGTGTCTGTACGCGCACGAGTTGCTGGTGAATGGAGAGCAGAAGAACGAAAAGAAGAACGAGAGGGTGAAGAAGCAGCCGTTCGAAGTTGTAAACGAGAAGAGCGAGGCAGGAAAGAAACGGAAACGACCCGAAGAGACGGAGAGTGAAGAGGAGGTGGAGAGTGTGAAGCAGAAGAAGCCACAACCTGCTGCTGCGGGGCTGGCGGCGCATGTGAACAACTTTATGGCGAGTCAGAAGCCAGTGACGCAGCAGAAGCCAAAGTCTGAGCCGAAACAGATGAAGCAGCAGAGTGGACCGAAGAAGTTTGAGTGGAAAGCCAAGGTGCAGCCGAGTAGTCAGAAGCAGGAGCGTCAACAGGTACAGGTGCTGGCAAAGGAGGAATACGAAGTGCAGGAGGAAGTACGGCGTCCGGTTAAGAAGATCAAGACGGAGAAGATCGATATGGGAGCTGCGTTTGACGGGGTCTCGGACGACGAATCTGGCCCAGTACGTGGTGGCAAGAAGAAGAAGGTGGACAAGGAGACGATGCGCGCGAACCGTGAGAAGCTGAAACAGGATCGTCGTGCCAAGCGGAGTGCGAAGAAGACGGCGCTGTCGAAGCTGTTGACGAAGGGCGAAGTCGAGCTGGGTGTTTGATGATATTAGGCGCTGCAATAGACCTCATAATGCGAGAGATTCATAGAATTGATATTTTTATGGTGGTAATTTTCCTATCACGTTTTATTTGCGGTAACAGCTACCAACGCGTACTTGTACATGTAGGTACTTAAGCACTTCTCTTTTGGATTTCTTCTCGGCGCATGTTCCTGTTTCCTTCGTCTCAACAAGAAGCGGGGTGGCACCATTTCGCTTTACTGATGCACAATTCACTTATCATTTCAGACAGTATCTACCAACCTTCGTGTAGTATACGCTCGTAGCTCTTTTGTTTGCAACTGTTAAAGATACGGGATACTACATCCAACAATTCGAATCGCCCGACTACAGTTATCCTGGCTAACAAGCGACAACTTTTTCAGGACAATTTCGCTTGCCAGGTTATCGCTGTGACGTACTGGTACCTGTATCTGTATACTGGGATGGCCATCCCACCGAATTAATCCTTGTTGGACTGTCCCTTACTGCACTAAAGTGCTTCCTTTCAAAAAAATCAGTACAAGTTTGGACGACTTTTCATACATGTACGTAGTTTTTTTTACATGTGAGTATATTCACAATACATGAATTAATCAGTGAAGTTAGTGCATTGTCTTGCCGCGCCGCTGGTCGTCATGACGACGTCAATATCGTTCATTATGCATGGCATTTAGATGCCGACGTTACGTGCCTGCCCTGGAAGGGCCCCTACAGGAGGCACATTGCAATCTTTCCCGCAGAGACTTGTTGTGAACAAGTTGTTGACGACAATGTCGCCTATTTGCGTCGCAAATTGCAAATGAAATATTGAGCCGAGCGTCGAAAGAGCCGTGCAAAGTGAAATTGCGATTCTTTTGCTCACAAGCGGACATGTTTGCTGCTACTGGCACCGAAATTCACAGAAGTCAATCGCGCAGACGCTGCCGAAACTCAATCCATTGAATATCCGCTAGTAAATTATGCAAGCCAAGGACCCGACAGCACAACCAAACCACCTTCCAGTACATCGTAACCTATGCCGTATTGACAGACATTCCAGTGCATTGTAACCTACGCCGTATTGACAGGAGCACGCAGTGGCTGGGTACTTGTTTCCCAAACATTTTCAAGTGTTTTTGGAAACTGGGTACTAGTAAATGATTGATCAGC